TCAATATCTCCCGCCAGCAGTAAGTATTCCCTGAGCCAGAGGACGGGTCTCCAGCTCAGCATCACCGAAAAAACGGTGTAGCCTGACTGCATCTTGTGATGCAGTAGGATGATTGCTGTGATTTGCATCCGAAGATGGTACTCTCACGACGTACACGCCACAGCATTGGGAGCTCCGCACCATGGTACTTCGCATCATTATGGTTTTCGCTCCTGTTATTTGCTTTAAAATTAAGTATTAATTTTTACCTTTTTATTATCATATAAATCATAATTTTTACAATCACAGTAATAATCATTTAAATCAGTAATTCCGTATGATAATAATTCAGCGGGCTGATATTAATATTCAGTTTGATATTAATATTACAGATTATTAAGCAATGCGCAATGTGTTGTTACAAGCTGATTTTTAAACTTTAAAAAATGTCTACAGAAATAGAATATCAATTTAAATGCATGTCTTAACCGTATTTGATGAACTTCTGATAAAAATTTACACATTTACATGAATGTTCTAATTACAGCACAGATCATGTACGTATAGAATTTAAAATGCTCTATTCCAGCTCATTTAATTCAATGATTAAGTTATTAACCAGACCAGTGGGCATGGAAAGAAGAGTGCATGTTTACCTTGAAGAGAAGATTTATTGCCTGCAGGAGATCATGACAACCAAAGTTCTGGTCGTGTTTTAATCTGCGAAAGTTTCACCTACCTTTCGGCTTCAAGTGCTTATATCTAATACTAGAATAATAATTCAGATATTTTTGGGGTAGCGATCAATGAAGAAAAAAGAGTTATACTGACGTATATCGAGAAAATGCTGGAAAAGTCACACACTTTACGAACACCGGGGTGCAAAATTTCACCCTCCCTGATAACAGTTGAAATAAAAAGTTTACATAATTTATCTTAATGTCTGCGTATTTAAAATAATTAGCCAAGATAGCATTCCAAATTTCAGACTTGGATCTTATTTATGAGGGGAGTTATTGAACCTAGTAATAGTTAAGAAATTCCGTAAGCGACCAACGCTGCTGAGCGCGTTGTATTTTATTTCTCGTTATGTATTTTCAGGTCCAGTTAATATCTGGAATAGTATTATTTTTTTGTCAAGCTATTCTTCTATATTTTTAAGTTTAATGTTAACTTTATTTTTAACTTAAATTCTCAAGTTATTCTTATTCATTGTTAAGTTCGATCTTTGTTAAGTTTAGAACATTACAAGCCCTTAATTGTGTTTATGTAACTATTTGCAGAATGCCTCTGAAGCCGACACTAAATCACAGTTTAATAGACAAGGGTTCGGGGTTATTTTTATTTATTTGCATTTTTTCTTTGTTTATTGCTTTATATTTTTTATCATTTGTATTCATCTTTAGTGTAATAGTTGGCCGTACAAAAACGCAGGCCGAGTTGGTACGTTCCGGTGACCACACCATCGTCATCATTATTAATTCTAAAAATATAAGTAAGGAAAAAAATTAAAAGTATGTTAATAGAAATTACACATTATCATTTTTCATCTTGATATCACTGTGAAATGTTAATCGTGCATGTAGATATGAACCATCATTATACTCAGCCCGTGCAAACCTATCGCAGTCCCGACGAGATCGCCATCCTTTCCTTCTCAAACTTTAAACCAACCTAAAGCATCCTTCGCAATCAACAATGTGAAGCATCCTTCACAATCGTGCGCATAGTGCGTATTGTTGGCTCCACCTACCTTTGTATCAACTTCTATCTTTTTTGCCTTCATGTGCTACGACAAAGTTGTGGCTTTTCTTAAAGACACTGCGCCGCTACTATCATCAAACTTAGAATCGGAAACAATTGTTGCTACATGCGGTCTGAGATCGTGGCTAGCACTTAATGACACGGCATTGGTCAAGATGCAACAAAACACTACCGGTACTTACTTTCGAAAGCGAGTTGTCCTCCTCTGGATCATCGACGTAGTCAAAAGATATTCTGCCTCTGAAGTCCGGTCTAAGAATTCCACAGTCTGCGGAGCGTTACGGAGGAAAGAGGAAATTATTGTTTAGTTAATCGTGTTTGTTTCGTTGTGCATTGAAAAAGTAATCACAAATACAAAATTTACACAATAAATTTTTTTTTTCAGAAGTAACTTGGCAACAAGCAGGTTACTCTTGTTGATAATTTATCAAAAAAAGACCGATCATGGCTGAAAATACAAGCCTCATTTTTGTAACTGTCAAAATTTAAAAATTTACGATTCAAGACTTTCTTCAAACGGTGTGAGTTAATTGATTATATGATTCACTTGTTCTCACACTTTAAAGTAAAAGTACCCGCATGAATACAAATATTTTTTTAATCGCTACAGAACGATATAATTAAATTAAAAATAAGAAGTCTCTAATTTTCCAATAGAAGACTGGTAGGTTTTACTATTATGCCTAACAACGTTTTAACGTGAATATTCACACTCACTTGGCTCGTTGCGCGGAACAGTAACAGTTTTTCGCTTGAGTTTTTCTCTGTTTCCCTCCGTGAGGCGTTCTGCGAGGGAATTTAAAAATTTGAATATCAGAATTATCATGAAACATTTTGATGTCATCTCCTTTATAATTAAAGCTATTTATGTTGGTGAACTAATTTGGCTAAAAATAGTTTTTGAGTAGTGTTTTCTCGTTCTCCTTCAACGGTGCCTAGTCTACGCTGTAAATCTGTTCAACAATCTTGAATGTTATGTAAAACATTTTTAAAATGCAAAATTTTTGTGAATTACCTAATGAATAGAATTTGTTTAGTGTTTGCTCGAAAAGAGCATCAGGCATTAAATCTTTTACAGTTCTTCCACACT